GACTGAAAAAAAATTACACATTTGTCCTGTTGAGTATCTTTAATCATTGGAACAATTTATGCAAAACAGTGGTAATTTTTCCATCACTGAAAATTTAGACATTAGAGCTGCTATTTTCTCCTGAGAGAAAGACTGAGCAAAACTGTATTTGAAGAACTCCTGTGGTATACAGGAGGTCAGACAAGATGTTTAGATGTTCCCTTCTGTTTTCACAGTCTATGAATCTAAGCAGGTACTAGCTCAGAGAATTTATCATCTTGTCTTCTATGGGATTACTCATATACCTTGAGTTGAACAGGTGTTTAAGTGCTTTGCTGGATCAGGGCCAAACAGAGCTGGTATTGTGCCATTCCTGTGCCCCTTTTGCAGCAGGACTTGAGGCTGGTGCGGCACCAGCGGTCACGCTGCTCCAAGTAATTGGCTTACAAAACGGTGCAGATTAAATGCTGCAACCAGGACTAATTTTGAAAAGAAAGGAATACTGGACTGCATGTGGACCTCCTAATACATAAAAATTACAGCTGTGTGGCTCAAGTGATGCATGGAAGGGGTTTTTGGAGTCCTATCACAATATTAGTCTGGGATATTGTTATAAATGTATCAGTTTTGCAGGGACACGCCACTCCAAGGTTAGAGTTATCTTCAAATAAATGGTACACACAGTAGAAGACTATTCTAATTACTTTATTAACTGGTGTAGTTGCTCTAATATTATATACTTATGTGGGCAAACTCATAGGGATCTACATTAGTGATTGTGGCTTTATTTTGTTTGTTAGTTTTCTCAATCCCTATCCTATGTAATAACTAATTTAATGACCTGAATCATGTCCAGAGATGTAGGATTATGTCTGGGCAAAGGAGGCCTAAGCATTTTTCACAATTGATCTGGTTTTGAGTTAGCAGATCAACGCTAAGTTATGAAAGGAAAGCTGTATGGAATTAAAGGACATAATCTTATGCACCATGTTATTGTTTTTTGTTTTTTTTATCTGACAACTTTTTTACTACTCTCTTTATGCTCACGATTGCTACTGCCTGAAAAATGCTTTCTTTTTCTTGTATCTCTCCATATTTCTCCATCCCTCTATTTATTTTTGGACAATGTGTTAAGAAGATCTCATCCCCATGTCCTGCAACTTTTCTATTACAGCTTGCTGTTCACTATGTGTTTTATTTGGCTAGACCTTCCCAAAATATAATATACATATATTTGTACAAGAGATACATCGAAGTGATATGTTAATACTGTGTGAGGAGATAAATTTCTTCTCCTGTCATCGTAGTTTCTACTGACAGTAGTAGCTGATTTAAATATTTTCGGAAATTACGTCTGGAACTGTTACAGTTCCAACTTTTCCCAGCTTTCTTAAAATACATTTGGAAATTCGAATTTGGTTAGATTCAGAATGCTGTAAGGTACGGCTTGGCCAAGATGCTGATATGAAATGCTTACATGAAAATATGCCAGACCACACTAACCCCAATGATACTGCTTGGTACCTCAGGAAACCCCCAGCCAACAGGATTGGGTTACATTCTCTGTCTGCTGTTTCTCCAGGTGAAGTAGGGGAGCTAGAAATGTACAGTCTAGAGAGTCTCTTAAGTGAGTGGAACATTTATACTGTGTTTTCCAGAAGGTGCCTCATGTGCAGCCAGTCTCAGCATGTTCTGGGGCTTAGGAAGTTTGTCCAGCACTGGCCGTGCTCTAACAGTGCTGCCCTTCCGCAGCTCCTCGGGGGAGCAGAGGCAGCCAGCTTGTCTCAGGGCAGTGTGGTCCAGCATCACCTCAGGCATGAGGCTCAGAGCTGAAAGGCCAGAAACAGCTCTGCCTCTTCAAAGTGCCCGTCTCTTTCAGAGTCATGTCAAGCACAGCCTTACAGGACACAGGGGTCTGTGATTTTAAAATGGGCATACATTCTTATGCATATCCCACTCCATAAAATATTTGGATATTTTTATTTGTGTTTAAAAGCCCTCAGGCATCTTCCTTGATAGGTCTGTATGTACACTGCAATTTTGCACGCATACATTAAGCGCTAAATGAAAACAAAAGCCATTTAACGTTAATTACTCTAGAAAGTCACCATATTGTGATCACACACGGCACCACTATTGCTGCCCAGCTAGATATCCCACTTTCGTGCAAACAACAGAACCAAATTGAATTACATAAAAAGAAGCTAGATACTGACTCCCAGCAGTATGTTTTGACAAAACACTTTGTCTACTTAAATGATTTCAGAAGCTGTAGTCAAAAGCCTTGACTGCAAATAATGGGTTCATAAAACCTATCTTTAAAATTTTACCTGACAGTAATGCTGTGCAAATACCTGCACTTCTAGTTCACCTTCTCCACTTGTTTACATCAGGATTTTAATAGAGTGGCTGTCACAGAACAACAGCTAAAGGCCACTGTTTGATAAGTTACTGTAAAAATAGACTGCTTAAAATGAGAATTTCCTCCTAAATTCAGTCATCACAAAAAGGTGGTGGGTAGGAAAACATTGAAGAGAGACAGTTTCTAGGAGGACTGCAATAAAGTCTTTTCAAGTTCAGTGACATTCTAACCTGCAATGACTTTGCAAGAAACTACATTTCCCACCTGTCTTCAGTTTTACTGAGAAATGACAAAAATAAAAGGAGAAGAGGAAAAGACAGGAGAGGTAGATAGATAGATAGATAGATAGATAGATAGATAGATAGATAGATAGATAGATTGATTTTTGGATTAGCTCAGCTCACTTAGCATCCATACATAATATTTGAAGAATATATTGACTAGATCACCACCTGAAGAAAGGAATTAAACAATGTTTACCTGAATGTCTAAATTTTTACCTGAAGAGCAAAGAATTAACCAAAGATCTTCTGTCAGACAGTGCCCTACCATTCTGCTGCTGACTTTCCCCATGCTGAATGTCTCTGCATCAGCATTAGGGTTAGGGGTTAGGGTTAGGGTTATGCATTTTTAGTTTGAAAATGTCACTTTATGACACTGCAAAGACTTTAAATATTTATTTACACCCAAACCAATAATAGCTTCATAGCTCGGTGTTTTTTCCTCCCCTACTTATGTTTTCTGTGAACGCATGCAGCTGCTGCATGGGATTGGACCCACATCCAGGGCTTTGGGTAGTACTGAACTTGAAATGCAAAAAGCACAGAACTGGTTTGAGAAACCCCTCAACCCCTCTGTGCATTGGGGTCCTTAAGGCTAGGAGTCCCTTCTGTCCTCTTGTCTCTGCAGGCTGCAGAATGCCCCTGTCAAGGAGACAGACACCTGTGTTCACTTTCCTCTCTTTACCTTATCAATATACCTAATGTTAACAGCACAAAATAGCTCCACTTTTTTCTTACATTCTAAGAGATGCTGAAGATATGCATTGGATATTGTGCTTAGATCATTCCCTCAAATTCCTTTCTGGACAATCCTAAAATGCCTATAAATTGTCAGCACAGTTATTATTAAAGAATTTTTGACTTCCAGCAATGACTTCCAGCAAAGACAATAAAATACTGTGGTGTTAAGAGAACACTCAATGTTTGCTGTAGAAAGAACTATTTCTGGTTAGGACCCTACAAGAACATATTGCTGCCTTTTAGTTTTCTCTTGTCTTGCTTCGTTCAATTCCCTGTCACACGTTTTTTTGTCTTTTATTATTATAATTATTACTTTTTTTCACAGTAAAAACACAGTAAAAAGTCTGGATTATTTTTGAGACACTCGCTTTTCTGCCCACTATTTTAAGGTTCCAGAGTATAAAAGTGTAACTTTTGCTCATTTGCTGAATGCAAGCCATCTTTATAGGAAAGGGGATCTTAGGTATAGATCTGATTTTTCTTTTTTTCCTTTTTTTTTTTTTTTTTTTCTCCTAAAAGTGTTTTTTAAAAAATAAGGATGTTTAAGTCTATTCATACTCAAAGATTCTGAGAAATTGACTCATTTTATATGCTATGGGAAGGAATTTAAGGGTATGTCCCCAAAACCTGTGCTCTGACCACTGCTGCTTCTTATGGTAAGTTGTTTTTAAACCAACAGTACCTGAGAGATGTGTAAGGAAAATTAAGATTGCATATTGATGGAAAAAATGTAAAATACTTTAAAATATAGGAGATAGGGTGATGGAGAGTGACCCCAGTCACCTATTATTTGTGTAATTTTAATTACTCTCTCTTTAATTTAAGCAGCTGACACACACTTTCAGTGGTGTTCAGAAAGTTAATAGGGCAGCTGAGTAAGGATTTTAAGGTCATATTCTTGTCCTTTGGTGCTTATTTTATTTATTAGCTGCTGCATTAATATTCTTACAATTACAGAAATGATTGTTTATGTATATAATGCATCTTACAATAGTATACAATTATGAATATTGTAATATCTATCTTTTAATGTATCTTCTCTTCCTTGATTCTTTAGCACTAGACTCACAAAATACACCAGCATTTAGATCAAGCTGCTTCTTTCCTTAAATTATTTCTTAATTATGGTATGTAGTCATCAGTTTGCTGACAACAATTTTCCTGGATGTCACTCTTTCTCTGATTCCACCCCTCCTGTCTGAAATTAAAATATTGACATAAATAATTTTGCATGAGCAGTGGAAAATTCAAAGAGGCATTTAAAGCAGAGGAGCTTCTACATTTATTGCTTTTATATACATGCATTTGTCTGTGTTTTCCAGGTACATAAATGGTAATTTAAGCATAACTAGTGTGCTGTCTCATCCATGCCTTGCGTGTAGATGAATGATGACACTTACCTGCAGTTTATTTTTTTAAAATTAAAAATCCCCATGATTTACATTACAAAACTAGAGGGAATCTGATGGTTCTGGGCTTTTTTATCTTTATTGGTGAAAGAAATGGGGATTATTAGACTACCAGTGTACTTAGAGTGGACTGCTCATTTCTATAAGTCTTCATCCACTTGTCTGCTCCCTTCTTTACACAGCTCTGTTCCTCTTGATCAGTGAGAAAACAGAGGCAAAAAAAAAGGATCATGGAAGTGTCTGGGGACCTAGCTGCAAGTCACAGCATTGGTGTTTAAAAATTAAAGGTAGGCAAGGAATGCATCCTCCAAGGACTTGGTTGTCGAGCTGGAGATGGTGATGTTCCAAACTCAGGAAGAAATGATGGTGATGTGCAGTTCTGGGGCAGCTCTGCTGAGCCTCTTGCAGACGGGACAGGGGATGCTGCCAAGTTGCTGCCCAAGTAATTTTTCTTATGGAGACATCTCTGGACATTTCTGCCCCTCCAGACAGGTCCTGCTCACCCTCTACTTGGCCAGGCATGCAACCTGCAAAGGGGAACCCCCTGCTCCCAGCCCGCAGCAGAGATGTTCTCCATACAACACCAGGCCTCTCGCCCCTGAGCCTGGTGATCCCAATATAAGGCACACTAGTGAAATTGGTCAGAAAAATTAAAACTGGAATCATGACTGTTAAAGTATGTCTTGTAATTCATTGTGTGCTTTCATGGGTACTGGGGTTTTTCTACTGAATAAGCACAAATCATTGTATTTCTATTCAAGAGGTTATCTTATGATAGACCTTGCAAAACCTTGTAGGTTTTATAAATAACAGCGTGTATGTGATGTAGTGACGCACACCAGTAAGTATTCTCTGTTTTAAATTCATTACAATGAATCGATCTCATAATGTTAACAAATCTTTTCACATATCCTCCTGAAATGTCTATTTGACTTAAACAGCAAGGTTTAGACACTGAGCAATGGCTAATGAGATCATGGTCACCATTAGGATCTGAAGAGTTATTGAGATATGAGGGGGAGTATGTTTTCCTGTTGTCAATAAATGTTGTAAATCCTAAATCAGACAACACTGCAGTAATATCAAGACACAGAAATCTAAAGGTGGCATAAAAATTCAAGAGCAGGAAGGGGACAAGCAACTAAGAGTCAGAACTGTTTAGTACTGAACAGAATGTGCATGTGTGGTCAAGGCAAATTTCAAATATGATGTATTGTCATCCTTCTATATTTACTTGCACAACTGAGTGAAAATTCAGTCTTCAGTCCATAATACAGATAGGCCTGGAAATACTCATCATTTTAATTCCAACATGCTAATACTCCCTGTGTAAATATAGATTTCTCAATTAAATTGAAGTAATTTGATCAAAGAACAAGTCTCACAGGTGAAAGCAAAGGTTTCAGTAACAACAATATTCAATGTTGGAGAAGTCTTTTCCACTGAAGGGTGCCTGGCTGAGGCTTAGAGCTGTGCATGACTTTTGACTCAGAAGCACTCCAAAATGTACATGTTTCAGTAGGAAAGCCATGAAACAGGCCACAACTTGGCTATGCTATTGAGAGTGCACCTCTATAACCCATAGAGTTAAATTCTTGAGGCCCTCTTGGAGCTAGCACAGTGATATGAAGCTCTGATGTTTTTTCTAGGATCTCCTTTGATGAAGCTTGTGCCAATTTCTTTCTAAGAAATTTCCAGACCCACAGACTATTTTAAGGGATAGGACAAAATATGAGTCTCCAGTCAAAGAATAGGAATCATAAGTGAGTGAAAGGACTACATGTTAATACAACCTATTTAGCCTTATTTACTTACAGTATTTTATATTTTTAACTACTGGATATTTGTAAAAAGTCACCATCTCTATTGGCATTTGACAAAGGACATAGTTAAATGGACCTGGCATTTTCTTATTCATGTTGTTGAGCTACTTGAATTAAGGTTCAGTCATCATATGATACCATGCATTTTCTGGATTAAAAAAAGACCTAATTCCCATGTAGACAAAAAGATCTCATATTTCTTCCTGAGAATTTTGACTTCATTCGTTTTTATAATTAGAAAAATATTTTTGCTAACTCCTAAGTGATGACCTCAATTTTAGTGCTTTGTTTCACACAGGTATGTGCCTTGCTTGCACATATGTTTATATATGCACTTCCTGGAATACATGAAAATTTTATTTCAATTACATTTTTCTCTGAATTGTACCACATAATTTACTTACTTTCTTTAGTTTGTTCATTTTTAGGCCGTAAATATTATTAACCCACAGAGATTTGTTTCTGCTTCCTTTAGTTAATTAAACACACCATTGGATTTATCTTGTGCTACCACCAGGAGGGCACAAAAAGGGAAATACTATATCACTAGATGATTCATTCATTAGCATAAAATAATCAGGGCTTTTGAATGTCTGCACTTCAATGTCTCAGGTTTGGTTTTTTGTGATTGCATCTAGGAAGAAGCAGCATCAGTAAAGGGATAAAGGAGAGAACAGAGAAAGAAATACAGAGATAAAGAAAGAGGGGAAGGAGGGAAGGA